GTGTTCAATATGTGGAGTTTGGAATTGGTACGAGCATATGGAATCCCTAGTTCTTACTTCTAAGTAGTGGCATTTCGTTCATGAGATCATATACATGTTATATTAATAATTCCAGAAAGTGCCTTCTTTGTTATAACGTATGTGAGTGCTAGTCTACATTTTTACATCAATCTTTTCACATATACTTAGTATAAGAAGTGTAGTCAGAAAATCTGTTGAAAATAGAGAGTATATCCGGTGAGGAATTGAGGTCCAATTGGCAAAGATGACAATAAATGGCTAAATGGAGCAATTTGGAGCAGTTTTGGACTTGGATTGGATAGCATGCGTATGGAGCATAATGGATGGATGTTTTTGGTGACAAATGATGCTAAAAATGTGCTACAAATCTGGAAAAATTAAATTAAGGCTTGCAAGACAAGGAATCAGCTGAAAACAAGGAAACCTTATCCAAACTTACCTTATCTTATCCAGTCCTGTTTTACCTCAACCTTATCTTATCTTATCTTATCATATCATAATCCTACCTTATCTCTAACTACAAGGGGGGTTCCTTATCACATTCAACCACTTAATTTGATTTAAGGAGTCCTAAAACACTGCAAACAACTCAATCCTTTTCCACCACAAAGTAGGTCGTGCCCTAGCCCTATAAATACAAGTTATTGCCGCAGCTTTCAGGAGGAGTTTTTAGAGAGAAAATTGGTGAGAGTGTCACAGCTTTCTGGATGAGAAAAGGAGATTTAGAGTCATGCTTGCAAGGAGAATAAGAGCCAATTCTGCCATCTAGAGGAGGAGCTGAATCTGCCATTGCTGGAGTGTCTCAGAGTTCTTTCTATCCTTATTTGATTTCAATGTTTAATTTAGATTGTTTTTATTTAGTTATGACGAACATGCGTAACTAAATTTCTTTTTAGCTAGAGGTGAATTCAAGGCCATGATCACATGTTTTGTATGAATTGATTACATCCAGTTATTGTTTCATAAACAGTGAATGCAATTTACTTATCTGTTTTATTAAGAACTTGTTCTTGTGTGTTGATTAAGGGTGCACACTTAGTTTGCATGCAGGGATTTGATGCTAGAATATAAGGGAACTTCACCTAATCGTTATGAACTTATTTACAAGTAGTAAAAGTCACTAGTCATGATTGTGTTAAGTAAATTCCTAGCAGGAGTATCATGCAGTTCATAGTTATGAATGTCTTATCAATGCTTATGATTTTCACAAAACTTAATTATCTTTGATATGTATCTCTATCATGCAGTTCATATAGGGAACTTGATAAGAATAATTTGGTTGCGTTGCTAAGTCCAATTCAATGAATTTAGGAAAATCTGAAAGTTTATTTGTGCTTTTCATGATTAATTTGGGGCATTGTCATTCATGGTTTATAGGAATAATAACTGGAAATCGATTTGTATGCATATGTTTCATGTGTGGAGAAGAATCCTCTAGCTAGCCCTTCACCCAATTTTCGTACCAAACTTAATTTGTTTCTTCAATTTACTTGTTTGAAGTTAGAATTCGTCCAAAAACCTCCCCCCCCTTATGTTTAGTGTCAGTTTAGCTTAGTTTTCAGTTTTTAAGTCTAATTAGTGTTGATTAACATCCCTTCTAATCCCTGCCTAGAACGATCCCTACTTGCTCATACTACAACTATCTTAATAGGGTTTAATTTGTGTGTTAGTTTCTGCCACATCACAGATAAGTGGCGAAGGAGGTTCTAAGATAAAGTTCTTCTAATAATGACAAAATGCCCATAGAAACCAGTGCGCCTCCAGTCTTCCAGCTCTTTGGGTGGGCTGACCATCACCTCACAGAGTGCCTCATCCTATTCATCTACCCTAAGAATTTCAAAGACTGAAGCAGGTATGCCCTTCCGATTTGATTTCCCCCTCGATTGCTGCGATCAAAAGACTTAGTTTTAGGGCCACGATGGTTGAAATTTGTAAGGTGGAGTGGGCGGCTATTCTTAGGACTATAGACGAGTTTTTGCTTCTTTGTAGAAGGGTGTTCTTTAGTAGTCGAGGGAGAAGTCACACACACAGAGGTCGGCTCAACACTTAATTTGTTAGGCTAGGAATGGGACGGGCTTAGGTCACCAGTCATAGATAAGTCATTGCCAGAAGGAAAACAATCCTTAAGAGAAAAGTTTGTTGGAACGGCCAGTAAGCTGTCCGAGGCCAGTAAAAGCCCATCCACATTATCAAAGGCCAAAAACTTTGGATAAAGAAAGCCCATTCACTGCAATAGATAGTGTGTCATTAGGTATCATTTGGTATGCAAACGGGACGGGAAGAAACGGAATGGGACGGGATGAAACGGAGAGGGAGCAAAGATGCCCTCGGATGAAAACAAGGAGGAAGAAGAAGGAGACGGAGATGTTATAATTTTGTGTTTCACGGATGTGGAACGAGTTGTTCTAGGAGGGTGAGGCGGAATGAAAATTCACCCAAAATTTGTCCCATGGAAGAGCGTTCCACCCGTTTTAGGCGCACCAAACGTGAGACGGAACACCTCGTCCCACTTCGTTCCGTCTCATCCCATGTACCAAATGGTACCTTAGAGAATTGGTCCCAAAACTATCAAGATGCCACATGTGTCCATAGTCAAGCAAGGTGAGGCCATGTGTTGTTTTGGTCCCCTTAACACCATACCCCTTGCTCACAGGTGTCTGCAATATCACAAGTGGCAGTTGTAGGCGGCATGAAATTTGCAGGAAATGTTATGTCCCTATGGACAACAAGTGTCAGGTCCGTATGTGTGTTGCTAGTAGGGATGGGCAAATACCCATCGGTTATGGGTAACCACGGTTATCCACCCATTTAAATTTCGCGGTTACGGTTATGTGTAACCGTTTAGATAATTAAATGGTTATGGGTATAACCGTTTACCCGTAAAATTTAAATGGGCGGTTATGGGTATTAACAACGGTTGTAACGATTACCCGTTTATTTTAATAGATATATAAAATTTAAAAAAAAAAACAAAAAACCTAATCCGTAAGATTTTAAATTTCTGTTTCTCTTAACGTTGCATTGAGGAATCTGACTGGTATAGATTTGACATTTTGGGCTATAATGGTGATGTGCATCAAAGTAGCTACGTGATGAATCTGACTGGTTGTTTAATTCACTTTTAAATTGCTGCCATGGGAACTAGTTGTGGACCTGTGGTACGAATATGATGTATAATCTGAGGTCACATTCACTAGTTATACCTTACTTAATGCGTTCTCTTCTAGCTATCATTTTTTATCCTTCATACGTATTTCCTCCTATATGCCAACACCTCTAGTTAAAAACATTTCTTTTGGGATACTAATTCAATTTATACATTTCTTTTGTAGGCCTCTTTTGGTGACAACGAGTCGATGAGACTTTGTGATTGAATGTGCTTAAAGCATTAGTGTTCGAAAGTGTTTAGTTTTGAAATATTTTGGAGCTTTGAATCATCTAGTATTCAAGATAATGACTACCTTGAGTTTTTTAGAAGCTTTACTTTGTAATCATATGGATGTTATAATTGAATACTTGCTTGGGTATGGAAGAAAAATATGTCAAAAATACATGAATTTTCTTTCCAATATGTTTGCTTAAGTAATGAGAGGTATTTTGTTAGTAAAAAATCAATTATTAGCAAATATATTATATTACCTTGATTGATTAAAACTATCGTTCGTCTTTATTATTTCAATTATTAGAGTTGTATACAGTTACGGTTAAAAAAATATGTAAATAGGCTCAAAAAAGGGTAAATGGGTTAAAAAAAAAGATAAACGGGTAAACGGGTATGGATAAACTGGTATACGGTTACGGTTAAATGGGTACGTGGTTATAGGTATGGTTAACCGTTTATAAATGGTTATGGGTATGGGTATAACCGTTTAGGCAATTACCCAATGGGTAAATGATTATGCGGGTGCGAGTATAAATGGTTATGGGTAAATAACAGCGGTTACTCGTCCGTCATAACCATTGCCCATCCCTAGTTGCTAGCACTGACCATGGAACACGTGGCAGAGGATCCCATGTCCCGTCTCCTTCCCAGAAACTCGTTGGCCGGGTGTTCCCAGCCTTCATCTGGTAGGCCGTAAAACCCTCAGTGAAGGCTTTTATTTGATGAAATAAGTTACCATAACAAGTTCTCTAATATATATATATATATATAGAATGGAGGGAAAATTCCAATGTATAGAGAGAAAACTAGCGTTTTCTTCTCAACATGTAGCAATGGAAGTCTTCACCCTACCTGCACGTTTGCAGGTTTACATTTTTGTTTTTCTTTTCTATACCTCAGGTTTTATTCTATTTTAATTTTAAATTTTAATTTATTTTTTTCAAGTTACAATACACATTATCCTCCATGTCACTTAATTATTAAAACAATTGACATCACTCTTAATTAGGACCCTTGAATGTTACCAGATCTAAAAGCTAGGAAAGAGCGTAAAAATATTTGTGAAAAAGTTTGTCCATTGTTCCTAACCCTTCAAACCAAGGGTAAAATGCCATAAATAGACTATATTTCACACTTCTAAGAGTATCCAAATATATACTCCACTTGAATTTGCAAAGTACTAAATGCATATAACTTACCATAAAATAATACGCGGATCACTGTATCATCATACAGACATAAAAAGAAGTGAGACTTGAATGGACACGTTATAAATTAGCAGATTGTTTGAGTCTTAATAACAAGAGAGTCACATTGATGAAATCTTAAAATATAAGACTAATTCACTATTACGGATCTGTAAGTGGGGAGAAAGACTTATGTGACACTATACACCGCCACGATGGGATCCTATACTAATGAAATAAAGACATGTGTAAGTTTTTACCCATATGCTCTTTTTTATTGACATTGATTAACATGTGACGATATACTAGTGTCATGTGAATTGCTTCGTAGACGAGCGGTGATAAGTTTGACTCTTGTAAAACTAAAAACTAGCGTTTTATTTATCTTTCAAACGGGGCCTTAATTAACCCAAAACGGAAATGAAAACGGAAATGAAAGCAAGACCAGTTAGCAGAAGCGCCCAACACGAAGTGCTTTACTAGGCCTACTTGAACACAAAACGTGATGCCCCGTAAATAATTGAATGGGTACGCTTTATGGCGGCAATAGATATATATATATATAGGTCGGGGCCCACTCAATCTCAAACAGAGCTTTCTGAATTCCAGATTTATTCCCGCCAAACTCACTCTCTCTCTCGATTAAGGTACGCTTCTCTCTCTTCTAAATTATAGTTAAGTGATAGATCCAAGAGCTATATATGGTTACAGATTCATTTGTGTATTTTATTCTCTATATTTGGGTTTCGATTACTAGAAATTAGGGCACAATATTGCATTCAGAATCGTTGAATTTACTTTCATGTGTTTAAATGGGTATTGCTCGAAACCCTAGATCCTGGAATTACCGGGATTCACATTCTTGATATGTAATTCTGGCAAAGGGTTGGTTGAGCTTCAAATATTAAATCTCAAATTCTCAAGGAGCAAGGTCAAATTCGTTTAATTTAACCCGGAGAATTCTCAAATTTTCGAAATTGGATTGTCAATTTGGAAGAGTTGAACTGACGAGAGTGTGGTGCAGAATTTTAACTGGCTGGTCATTTGTGTTTCGGGTTTTGTTTTGCTCAGGTTATTATGAAATCTATGTTTTGGGTAGAAAATTGCTGGAAACAATTTGGATAATATGTGTGAGAAAGGGCAGTGTAGCTTTCGTGTTATTCAAACGATATAGTCTCTTGTTTCATATGGAAGAAAACGAGAAACGGAAAATTACAAAAAGTTGGAATACTCCTGGTGTGATAAAAATATGTATATTTTTTTGCTTACACCAGTTAATTAGTTCTTTCTTGGTATCCTATTTTGTTGAAGCCCGAAAAGATGCATTATTGTCTTACTTACGAGAGGGACCGTGTGACAGTAGGCTAAAGATCGGTGAAGCCAAACCAGCATGAAAGCTTCTAGAGAAACAAACAGGAAGGTGATCAAGATTCCTGTAGAGGGAAGAGCACGTATAGGAAGTACCATGAGAGAACAGAGATTTACAGGGAGAACTACCCGAGTCTGCCACAAAGCAACAGGTTGGAAATCATCTGAGTATTATGCTTGAATGCTTTTAACTTCAACCATTAATTCTTGTATTTTCTTGCACGTACTAGTTTTGCCACATTATATTAGCTTACCAAGTAATTCTAGACAGATCTCTTCCGATTTGATTAGCCTGTTCATTTCCTGAGCTGTTATGGACATTGAATTTTTAGTTGCCCCGATCTTGGGCATTCCTTTAAGTTAGTCGCATCTTATATTTCTTAGGGCAAGGTGGCAATTTCTTGGTTGAAATGGACGAGAATCCCGAAGGCATGTGTCTGGAGCTTCCTGACATAGGTGTGCCCTTTTTAGGAACAATAAAGAGACTGCCTGTTCTTGAGTGTTATCAAGGGCAAAAACTTCTTCCGCAGTCAAAGATCAAGTTGCAGCTTTTCCCTGTAAATGAAGCCACCCGCATAGGATTGGAAAAGGTAGATCATAAATCATGAAGATTTGAAAAATTAGAACAGCACTATGTATTTGCAAGCTAGAAAGTTTGTCGCTTTAATTTCTAACTTTCTTTTCTTTTATGTCATTTTCTTTCTTAGGATGGACATCATCCATATTTAGAACTCATTCTTAGACCACGGAAGAAGATTACTTCTGTACTAAAGCACCTTAATGATAAGTGGGGCAGATCAAGCATTGCTTTTGAGTTCTATTCCCATATAAGATGCCCGACAGTATGTCTAGTAACAGAAGATGGACACTGAATGATGGCAATATTAGTGCCGGAGCGGTCTATGCAGCTTTTGGAAGCCCTGCAGTTTTTCGCTTAAGGTATAATTCTTCCTCTATTTTCTTTACTCAACGTGTTATTAATTTTTCTGACTTCATATGCTACTTAAGGTATGGCTGGTTCTCTACTGAACCTAAAACTGCTTATCAACCTTCTACATCAGCTAATGACTTACGATCTGAAGGCGAGCAGAGATGTAGAAGCCCCGCAACAGAGAATGTTATTGATGAATTATGGAAACATACTGCTTTAGCAACAAAAGATTTCAAATCAAATGATGCAAGTGAAACAATAAATGCAGATACTGAGAAGATTTCTACTGGAGCTGTTGATCCCAGGGTAAAATTTTCTGCTGCTTCTTTCTCTGTTTATTTGATTGTTCTTTATTCACATGTGTGTGTGCGCGCTCACACACCTTTAGTGGGTTAAGCTTAAATTTACTTGTATGAGTTTGAATTTTCGTTGTTTCTGGTGACTGTGACTTTAATGAATTGCGTTAAGCTGGGAATGCAATATATAGACGTGATGAAATGTCGGATTGAGAATACAAGCGTTGATAAATATTCTTTCCTTTGTTTTTCAAAATTTAAAAGCAGAGATGGAAAATTTGTTGGGTAGACATTTTGAAGATTTACGCAACATGTTTCTTTCATGGGTTTTAATGATTGTATGAAGTTTCTCTTATTGTAATTAGGACAATATTCAGAGGAGGATGGGTAACCATGCTCAGGAACCACTTTTGATTGACAGTGTAACTAATATAAGCGTTGGAGGCCTACTTTCTGAAGCATCCTTACAGGCCAAGTTCAATAGCAGTAAAGAAAAACAAATTGGGAAAAATGAAGGCTTTTATCCTACTGAAATAAAAAATGATTCAAAGTCATTTGTGTCGTGGGATTGTCCATCTATGAGCATTGGTGGCCTCCTGTCTGAAGCATCCTTGCAGGGCAAGCTCAATGGATCTGATGCACAACCAGTTGAGAGCAATGCAGGCTTGCCACCAACTCAAGGTCAAAGGCCATCCACTCATGACTCATGCTTATCTATTTTTGACGCCAAAGAAACGTGCCGTGCATTTCCTTCTCAAAAGTTCTCTTCGTCGGGAAAAGATGTTCTGGGGTTTGGTGGAAGTCGTGGATGTTTCAACCAGAATCCTGTTTCTAAACTATTCAAGTTCCCTGATGAAGCCAAGGTTTGCTGAGTTCTAATAGTTCATTTCATTCTGTTATTGCAACTGTGCTGTTTAACCAGTTGTGGCTTCCGTCTCGTTTAAATAACTATGATTTGAATACCAGATTTTGGATTGGTATGACAATAGATCGTCCTATTCTATAAATATTACAATTTGGATGTTAAATAAATATGAAATTGTTTTAATTGGTAGTCAGAACTTGTCTTGAATGAACTGTGCTGAATCTCTAGTATATTGAAGTGTTGAAAGTTTCGGAATGTCTCGACATTGAAGGGTGTTATAACCTTTGATGTGTTGGTTAACTGAGTTATCAAATTTCTCCGTCGTTTACTTTTTTATATTGTTAAGACTTAAAGAACCTTAATCAGCTGTTTGGTTTGGTAGACCTTTCTAAATTTTACTGATCAGAACAAGACTAACATCAACAGATTGCTTGGGTTTTTTTTAGGGATGTGCTGTCCACACACCCCTTTTTACTTCATACGCACCCACTTAATTTGCGGCCATCGGGTCAACTAAATTAAAGAAGATCAAAAGACATAAACTAACAAGGGGTGTGTGAGAAGTAAAAAATGGTGTGTGGATAGCAGACCCCTTTTTTTAATCTGTGTAAGACTATATGGTGAGGCAATTTTAGGCTACATAATTCTCACTAGTATCTTACCAAAGTAATTAGTATAAAGGCTTTGTCAAGATTTTAAACAGCATGTAGCTGTGTTCCTTGCCGGGGGATATGGACTCGCTTGGCCCTTTCAAGCCGTTGAAGTAAAACAAGAAGAATCTCAGTCGGATGTTTATTGCAGGCTAACAGTGTTACTGAGCTTCCGCAAGACCAGCGTGGTTGTCAGGAATCAGATACAGCTCTCATGATTTGTTCGCAAGTGAACAACGAAGTGATTGTTGCTTGTTTTGAAGTTTGTGAAATTGAAAATAGCTGATGGTTGTAATTTTACTCCTTGGGACACAGAGCGATTCCTTGGGGCCGTTTGATCTTGGCCTCCCTGTCTCTCGGAAGCTGATCACCGGAGAGAGTGCAAGCAGCATCAGTGGATTTGTGAAGTAGCAGAATACTCAGATCAATACTTTGGTACAGTTCTGGAAGTTTGCTAAATTTATTTGCTTTCACACTTCTTATTTTCATTTTTTTCCTATATTAGCGCGAACGACTTTATTCGAGCTCGACTTGGGAAAATGAATTTTCGATGACTTCATTTGCCGCCGAAAGCACTTTTAGATAACCAAATGAGCTTCTGATAATGTGAAAGATTCTTTTTTTTTTTTTTTTTTTTCCTATGGAGAAACGGTTAAATGTTTTGTTCTAGCAAGCACTTGGATTTTTGTTAAAAATTTTGGGACCATTTGGAAATACTTCTCTATAAAGCACTTTTGCTCGTCAAAGCTTTGACTTAAAAAGTGCATGTCAAAATTTTTAATAGGGTAAATCGTCAAAATAGTCTCTGAGATTTGCATAACTCATCACTTTCGTCCCTGAGATTCCAAATCGATAAAAGTGGTTCCTGAAATTGTCCACCATCCATCATTTTGGTCATTCAGTTAAAAACTCCATTAAGTGTCCCGGAAGTTTGGGTAATTTTCAAAACTTCGTAACTTAATCGTTTATTAACCAAATTCGACTTATAATATATCAAAATGAAGATAGGAAAGTGTAGAATAAGATTATACCTATTTCAAAGCCCAATGGTTGCCGGAGATGGCCGGAAAATAGCCTCAAAGTTGATTGGTCCGAGTGACTTGAAAACTCGCCGGAAACTGGGTAAACTTTAAACATTCATAACTTCTTTAATACTCAACGAAATCAAGTAATTCAAAAACGAAAATCATACTTCTCCACGAGACAAAGAGAATGATACCTTTTTATGGTTAACTCGCTGTGGTTTGGCTGGAAAACGGCTTGAAAGTGGCTAACTTGAGACCAAGACAACCACTTTCGAGCTATTTTCCGGCTAAACCACGGCGAGTTAACTGTCAAAAAAGGTACCATTCTCTTTGTCTCGTTGAGAAGTATGATTTTCGTTTTTGAATTACTTGATTTCGTTGAGTGTTGAAGAAGTTATGAACGTTTAAAGTTTACTCAGTTTCCGGCGAGTTTTCAAGTTTTCACTCGGACCAGTCAACTTTGAGGCTATTTTCCGGCAATCTCCTCCAACCATTGGGTTTCGAAATAGGAATAATCTTATTCTACACTTTCCTATCTTCAGTTTGATATATTATGGGTCGAATTTGGTTAAAAAATGATTGAGTTACGAAGCTTTGAAAATTGCCCAAACTTCCGACCAAGAGCTCCGGGACACTTACGGAGTTTTTAAAGAAATGACCAAAATGATGGATGGTGGACAATCTCAGGGACCACTTTTATCGATTTGGAATCTCAGGGACCAAAGTGATGAGTTATGCAAATCTCAGGGACTATTTTGGCGATTTACCCTTTTTAATAAAAGCTCATGCTAAATCTTATTAACGGCCAGAGGAGGCAAATAATAATCAATATGTATAGGAATTAGGGTCCCGCTTAAATCACAGATGTCTTCCATTGCTCACCGCTATGTCAAATCGAAGTAGGGCAAATAATAATTAACTCGTCACCATCATCAACTCTATTATTCGCTCCTCATCCAAAACCATCAGGAGACGAATATAACATTAATAAAAGGCTCATTAACAATCCGTCCCTTCACATGTATAATAAATTTGACCTCTTAACCCTATGCATGTATGATTTATCTTTCTGCTCACTATAACAATATTGACCTAAAGTTACAATTAAAATGTGGCATAGAGGGGTGGGGATGTTCTCTAAGCAAACAATCGAAATGGGTTGGCAAGTAGTACTCAACAAAACACCTCACTTAAAAAATTTGGCGTTGCATGTGCTGTTTTTTGGATTCCATGAGGACATGCATCCACCATTGCTTAATTAGTTGTGCCCTAGAGAAATAACTTTCTAGCTTTGCCCCAGTGAACACACGTGTTTATTATAAAACCACTTCAAAACAAGCTTTTGACATGCTTCGGATAAAATGATTTATGAACATAAGTATTTCTTAGAAAAGCATTTTCAAATAAGTCTTAAAGAGATTTTTCCCCTTTTGTAAAATTTGTTTTCCTTTTTTTGGGTAAATCGAAAAGGGTAGAAGGAATGAATGGGTGGGTAACTATCCTTGCCGCCTGTAATAATGAAGAAAATGCCCAGATTTTGAAATGTGGAGTGCTGGCAGCTGACAACTATCAACTGTTGTGCGCTGGCCCTTCTGATTTTCTTGAGAACACAGTCCAAGTTCTTTTTTTTTTTTGCCAGCACAACAATATATTTTCCACTAACAAGCGGATGAGTTCGTCTAAACCACACATAGGCAATCTAATTTGGTATTGAATTCGTCATCCACGAGATTTGAACCTAAAATATCTCGCTTACAAGTGAAGAAGAATACCGTCAGATCGTAGTACTGAGTGACCATCCAAGTCCTTTTAGAAAGCAAAAGATAAATCAAAATCAAAATAATTAAATATATTGAATGTTGGTTTCCCAATGCACACCCCAACTATGAAGGCGGAGAAAGCGGAGGGAGTTACAAAGACAATGTAATGGTTGGTATAATCCCAAGGCAATGCCGGCCAAGAAACGGCAGTATCACTCACTCACTCTTGTTTCGGCTTCCTCATTTCATTTTCTTAAAAAATTTATTTACCATTACCAATTACCAACCATCTTCATTCATTGATTCACCGGATTTACTATGCAGTCATTCCTCACCACCACCACCACCATTGTCGCCGCCTAGGTGCTACCGTCCCCTCCAAAGTCAGTCGCTGACTTAATGGGTTGTGTTCAGGCGAAAACCAACTCCCCAAGTCATGACCTTCAAGTCCTTGACAAGTTGAAACGGGACAATGGCTATGTCAAGGGGAGCATTGAAGGAAAACCCGTTACCCTAAAACACTCAAGGAAGGACGTTAAGGCGGCGGCATTCAATGGTGAGGATAAGATTGCTGATGGTGGAGGAGGAGGTTTGGTTGTTAGAGAGACAGAGAGAGCTAAGAATGGAGGGAACGTTTCGCGAAGGATGATGTTGAAGAAGATTGGAGGAGATGATGATGATATTGTGGATGGCTGGCCGAAGTGGCTGGTTGAGAACGTGCCTCCAGATATCTTGGTTGGTTTTGTTCCAAAGACTGCCGACTCCTACGATAAACTTGCTAAGGTAACTAATTACTCCTTCAGACAGACTCCACTTACTAATTTTTTTGAATTAGGATGTTGGGATTTCTTGGTGGACAAGAAACCTGAATTTGGGTTTCCATATTTGGCTTTGGTATTGTAGGTAGGGCAGGGAACCTACAGCAATGTGTACAAAGCTCGTGACAGGGACACCAAAAAGATTGTTGCTTTGAAAAAAGTCCGCTTTGACACATCAGAGCCAGAGAGTGTCAAGTTCATGGCAAGGGAGATAACGATGCTACAGAAGCTAGATCATCCCAATATCATCAAGCTTGAAGGGATAGCAACATCAAGAATGCAGTATAGTCTATATCTCGTATTTGATTTCATGCAGTCCGACTTGACCAGAGTAATCTCACGTCCTGGACAGAGGCTCACTGAACCCCAGGTTGGCATTTGTTGTCGTCATCTATCCCTACACCTAAAAATTTATTTATGTATATATGTTATGTAGATTTTGGGCTTATACGTGTGCAGTAAGTACAAATGAACCGAGTCTGTAACAGAAATGGTGTGGAATTCATAGTACTCAATGGTCAGACAGACAGATTTAGGTGTTTTTGTTTCAATTTTCTCTTTCATACAGGTCAAGTGCTATATGCAGCAGCTTCTTGCTGGTCTCCAGCACTGCCATGAAAACGGGATTTTACATCGAGACATTAAAGCTTCCAACTTGCTAATAGACAGAAATGGGATGCTGAAAATTGCAGATTTTGGGCTTGCAAATTTTTTCCCTCCAAAGAAACGTCCTCTTACAAGCCGAGTAGTGACACTCTGGTACAGAGCGCCAGAGCTCTTGTTAGGTTCTACGGATTATGGAGTTGGTATTGATCTTTGGAGTGCAGGATGCCTATTGGCAGAAATGTTTGTTGGGAGGCCAGTTATGCCTGGGAGAACCGAGGTAAAATGATTTTGTCTTAACTTCATTTTCAACACCAGTAACCGCAATTATATTCACACAAGGAATCTTCGATTGATCCCACCATCATTTTTGAGAAATTACAGAGGCAGATTCATTAAGTTGTGTGTTCAGGTTGAGCAACTTCATAGGATCTTCAAGCTTTGTGGTTCACCCGGAGAGGATTACTGGAAGAAAATGAAGTTACCAACAAGCTTCCGACCACCACAACATTACAAACCTAGTTTTGAAGAGTTCTTCAGGGACTTCTCAACATCATCATTTGATCTCTTAACAACACTTCTTGCTCTGGATCCGGCATCTCGTGGCAGTGCTGCTTCTGCACTCCAAAGTCAAGTGAGTACAATCATGAAACTCTTTCTTCGTGTAATCAATATTTTCCGTTATTGCTTTTTAGTCCCGAGCTTCCCTTTTATTTAGCTCACCAACTGCAATCTGCATGAAATTTGATCGCTCTAAGAGAAAAGTGAGTGTAGAAACAACAATGCTTGAGAAAGTAAAAGATGTCTTAGTGATCTATATATTTTAGTATGCTCAACATGTATTTGCAAATTGTAAATTTTTTCTGGTTTCAGTTTTTTAGTTCAAGTCCGTCGGCATGTGACCTTTCAGCTCTACCAGTAATGTATAAAGAGGAGG